CCGCTCGTGAAAACCGCGGGAGGCGGCAGCCTTCGGGACACCCTTTATTGTGGGAACCGAGGAGCGAGAGATTTTATGTGTTTTTTCTGGAAGGCTGGCGCCCGTGGCTGTAGCATGCACTGATGTGCAGGACAGCAAGAGCCATCCTTACGCCCTATGCCGCTGGGAAAAGCTTCCCAAGAACTCCAGGCTGCGGCACAGATGGGCTCTCGAGCACTCTCTTAGCCATATTACCGAAGCATTATCCGGATTCCAAAACAGATTAGAAGTCTGAGGTGAAGTATAGACATTCCAGGCTTACAAGGCAGAAAATGTTCTGCTCATGGAACGGTCTGACAGACAGAATGCTTTACACGCACGTAAATGATTACAGAATGATTACAGAAACACATGAATGAAAGATCAGGCTACTATCTTAGTACAGGACTGAGCATCTGCTTTGCGTGTTAACAAAGAGTTATTACTTAAAACTCCAAAGAAACAAGCTACTGTAAGGGCACATAAATGCCTCTTACGTGTAGTAGAGTCTACATTCTGTTTAGTGTGGGCTGGTTGAAACAGAGTAGCAACTCTTAAAGAACAGTATTAAATCATCAACCAGACTACTTGCTCTCCTTTGCCTCTACTGTGATTATAGCAGCTGTACGGCAACACCGAAGTTAATCTTTCACCTCCCAGAACAATTACCTATTTGCAACTTAGACAAGTTTAACAGATTTAGCAAGTGTGTCAATATTGAGAGTCCTGAGGAAAGGTAAAGACTGTTAGCAAATAAACCCACGCCTGTGCCTTTCCATGGTTATTTGTGTGTGCTAATGGTTAGTTGTCCAGCTCCTATCACAAAGCTATCTATGGACCGTCATAGTTATTTTCTCTTATTAGGCTGCTCAGAGAGGCTTAAGAATAGTTGCCATGAACTACACGCATCCTTTGCCCTAGCTGCAATAAGAGCATATTTATATTTGAGCTGCCAAGGTCCTCCTCTTTCTTGAAGGAGTAAAAAAATTCCTTCAAACCTGTTGTTCTAGCCCTATGGGTAGGATCTTCCTTCAAAATCCAGCAAAGTGGTAGAGCATGCGCCAACAATACATGATTATTCCACTGCTGGTGAAGGTCTGCTACTTTTACAGAACAATCACGGTCTTCAAAAAAAGTAAACACGCAACAGATACCTACTTCTATATCAGTGTGCTGGATGTCAAAGCTTATTAACCTCCTGTAACCAGAGAAAAGGGTGAAGGCAGGGTGTCACTGGTTTTGAAATAAGGGTGCACTTCTAAGGCAGAAATCGAGTTGAGCGCCTTTTGAACGTCATTCTCTTGGCCACTGGCTCTTTCTAGTGGCCTTCCCCGGGCGCTACAACTGTCTCGTTACCCGAACCCTTCCTTACCTTCTTCACGTTCTCACGGACTCCCATTCAGCCATGTGTACAGACACCAAACCAGCACACGTGGCTGAGCAGCAGCAAGAGCCTTCACTAAGATAGGCACAGAAAGACAGCCCTCAGCCTTCTCAGCATTTCCAGGGAAGTTTGCCTCTGACTTTTCAGGCTTCTTGTATTGCCAGAGAAAGCTTTTCTGCAGAACACGGTGAGATCCCGTGGAGGATGAGTACACGAAGCCTAATGCAAGAAAGTGGTGCTGGGAGAGCTGTTACTCATGGCACTTGCTGACACTCTTTTCACATGGCCTCTCCTAGCTTGATGCAACCAAGTCTCCAATTCAGAATACAGAATTGAGAGAACATGCATAACATGATACTTCTGTTCTCCTGCAACAGCTTTCGCATTTTCTTCTACACATTGTGCTCTGCAGAACCCACAAACACAAATGTCCTGGTTTCGGCCGGGACAGAGTTAATTTTCTTCTCAGCAGCTGCTGCATTTTGGATTTAGTACCAGAAGAATGTTGCTAACACTGATGTTTTCAGGTGTAGCTAAGAAATCAAGGACTTTTCCCAGTCTCCCATGTTCGGCTGATGAGCAGGTGTGCAGGAGCTGGGAGGGAGCACAGCCAGGCAGCGAGCCCCAGCTGGCCCGTGGAAATATTCCACACCATGGACATCATGCTCAGTTTATGAGAGGGGATTGGCTGGGGGACAGGAAGCTCTCTTTCTCTTTCCCATGGATTCAAATCCTCTCTGGTCCAGGAGTTCCAATTTTCCAGGAGTTCGGGTTTTTTCAGGAATTTTGTGAAATTTGCAAAATCTGTGAGTTCCAGGTTCCACAATTGCTGCTGGGGGACTGGCTGCAAATCAGTCATCAGGCAGTGAGAAAATTGTATCATATATAGTTTGTTTTGCATATTTATTATTATTGGTGGTAGTAGTAGTATTTCTTGTGTTGTCTTACTAAACTGTCTTTATCTCAACACACGAGTTTCCCCTTTTGTCCATTTCCTCTCCCCATCCTGCTGGGGGGAAGGGGAGGCGTGAGCGAGCGGCTGCCGGGTCAAACCATGAGAATAAAAAAGTATTGCCCACACTCCCTGAAATTGTTGTTCTCCTGTAAAGCTATGAGAGGATTTTGTAAGTGCCTCCAACATTAATTTTTTTTTTGTTTGCTTTTGGTTAAACTTGAGATCTTTAGGCAATTATTCCAAGAAGGCTCCAAAGTCTTTTCTATTTGGCACGTTAAGGTAAGAGCAATATATTGATATTTGTTTAATCCAGTGTATACCTTAGAAATAACAATTGACACATCTTACACTTTTAAAGGAAATGCTCTCTGAACTTGCCCTTGTGTGCTGGTTTTGGCTGAGGTAATTTTCTTCCTAGCAGCTAATGTGAGGCTGCATTTTAGATCTGTGATGAAAACAGTGTTGATAATGCAGGGATGTTTTAGTTACTGGTGAGCAGTGCTTCCAAAGAGCCCAGGCAATTTC